CGCTCAGTGTTTAACTAGCTTAATCAACATTTGTATTTCAAATTGAATGCATCGCGCTGGTGAATTCTCAATGGCGGATGATTAGCATGGGTAGTTGCATCGCCTTAGACCGAAAGAGTGCCTGAACGGGTTCCGATACCAGGACGACTGGTGTCTGTGTTGACAGTGCCAACAAAGGTCAGACAAAGGGGCACTGTTGTCAGGGATGATTGCATGGCAACAACGCTACGGTCGGCCGGCAGCAGCAAGGCCGTCTACATAATTCAGCCACACAGGTGGCGACCCGGGACCGGACACTGCGCCCTGGAGAGTCTGGACTGTCCGCCTGAAGGTACGCCAGTCGAGACCCCGCCAGGTAGACGCTTTTGGGCCGCGACTTTGTGTGATCTCTGTTGTTCAAGGCGGTGTCCCCAGTTATTTGGGCGTGTTGAGATAAACGTTAATTCTGATCATTTTGTTATAGGTGGTGTCCATATGGGTTTATCCCGACTGTAGGCTTAGTTTTTGGAAGTGCATCAAGATTTCAGCGCGGCGTTTTAATCAGATCGATGTGCCAGTTTTTAATATTGCAATGGCACTGCTGCAGTCGTTGCCATTTACCTGCACTTGTGTTCACACTGAAGATCTTACCGCACGTTCACACTGAAGATTTTACCGCACGCAACGCAAGTCAACTTATATTACACTTTGCTCTTGGTACAAGGCGTCCAAACACGTCATGGTACAGTCTTGATACTTCAACCTGACACACAAACCACTAACCTATCCGACTCTCAACCTTTCGCCCTTTCTTTCATCAAAACGCTCACGTCAGCCTTGACGTATTCTTGTCATAATCTTCGGCATAACGTCCATTTCAAACGCCCAAAGAAACCGTCCAAAGGATTTTTGCTTTCCCCGAGTAATCCTTGCTTTTCTGTTTTGCCCGCTTTGATCACTTTTCGCCTTGAACTGAAACCCAATTTTTTGCCGTCCTCGTGCGTAACAAGATGACGTGCGTCAAACCTAAAAGACGCTGACAGCCCGAAAAGCGCACCTTTACCCCGCTTCGTCGATGTACGCGAGAACCAAGGGTTGCTGCGTGCGGCCGGCTGAGTCGCTAATCCTCTCATTATGCCAGAAAAACCAGCTTGGTAACTGGGCGATACACCATGGAAGCCGTCCCCTGGACGTCCACTTTTCTGACGATTCCTCCTTGGTCCGGCAGGACGTGTTTCACGCGGCCAAGGCGCCACGTACTTCGTGGCGTGCTGTTGTCAGCAATGATGACCACGTCACCAGTCGCGGGGTTACTCTCCCGTCCACTCCATGTTTGTCTAGGCTACAGGGTCTGCAGGTGCTCTCGCCTCCACCTGCTCCAGAATTCCGAGGCCACATGCTGAACTTGGCGCCATCGCTTTCTGGAGCAGTTGTCCGTGTTGCCGAATTAATCACGTGGGAACTATCCAAGGGAGCGGAGGAGGAGAAGATGACCTGGCAAGAGTGGATCCAGATCCTCGGGGTCGTCACATGGTGGCGTCAGCGAGCGGCTGTTGAGTGTTGACGCGACCTTGCACAACAGCGTCGGCGGGTCTTCCTCGTCGACGGTTTGATTTAACAGCAGCGAGCTCGGCACCGTTTTGACTGAGCGGATCTCTTGCTGCCACGCACCGCCATGATGGGGCACCAGGCGAGCTGAACTTCCATTTGACGCGGCGCTGCAGCATAGCCTCGTGTGTTTGGTTTTGATGCCATTTGCTTGCCTCGAAACGTGGCTCTCGTTCAGCACCAACAAAGTTAGTCCCGTGATCTGCTCCAATATCCTGTACCGTGCCTTTTGCGGAGACGAATCGACGAGGCGCGTTGGTGAACGAGTCCGTTGAAAGTGAATGCGACAGCTCCACGTGGACCGCTCTTATCGTTACACAGGGAAACAACGCACCGTACTGCTTTTTAAGCCTCTTTTTCTCTTCACGTAGAGCAGGCCACAGCAATCGACTCTCACAGACGAGAACGGTGGGTGATCTGGCGTCACGTGGTCCACTGGGACCGGGTGACGCCAGGGTTAAGCTCTACTTACTAGCCCAGCGTTAAGTTAGGCCATTTTCTGGGTTAAGGGCCGTCCTTGCAGCCTTCAGCAGACAGCAAGATAACACACGGCGGACGGAAACATTGACACGCACCGCGCAGCACTTCCTCGGAGTAAGGCCAAGACATGCTAGCGGCCCTGGTGACCCGCGGCCTGATGGACGTGTTGAATGACTAGCGCGGTAATGTGCGACTTCGCCGGCAGAAAGGTCGGGTGCTTAAATCCGTAACACTGCGGATCTCGGTCGAGTTGCCCACACACTTTCAGAGCGTCATATTATGAATTGGGTTCAGTCGGTGTGCGTGACTTGAACGCCTGGTCTCAGCTTTCTCGCTCCCTTGATTCTTTTTTCAGCTAGCTCATCGCGTTTTGATAATTATGTGCGTGGTTATACTTGATGACGGTTTTCCCTGCATCCGCGATTACCTCTGGTGGCAGGAAGCCTGATATTCCCTGCCGCCATCTGTGGCCTTCTCGGCTTGTTGAGTTCGACTTACGACGATTCTTATTCCCTGCGAGCGGTAGCTGCCACAAAGCGCCTTGGTCTGCTCTGGGTTTCAAACGTCATGTGTCGTATAAACCACAGCATGAAGGCCACTGCACGGTTTCAGCTGATAACAACGGGAGATTTTTAGCAGGAACCGTTGCGAAGAGCTCCTTTCTGAGGCATTGGTGGCCAAAATAATGGAGGATCTTTTAACTTCGGGGTCATTCATGTACAGTTGTATAGCCGCGTCCATCTTCATTGGGCACGTCCATAATCATCGGCCAGGGATCTCCTATCGTTAGGCGGTTAACGTCATCAGATTCCTTATCGTTATCGTTCGTTTTTGCAGATAAACTTAAGCTCTGTCGTCCATCGCGAAAAATTGGGAAACTTACCTATATTAACTCCACGGGACCCTTCGTCTGCTGGGTTGAGCGTGCTGTCAACATATCACAACCGCTTTGGATCAGAGCTTTCGTGGATAGTGTGAACTCTGTTGTCCGCGTAGGCTTGAAACCGGCTTCTTATCCTGTTGATGTAGCGAAGCACCGTCGTACTACCAGCTCTGAACGTCGAGCCCTCCACAGACGCGCAGGCTTGAAACCGGCTTCTTATCCTGTGGATGTAGCGAAGCACCGTCGTACTACCAGCTCTGAACGTCGAGCCCTCCACAGACGCGTAGGCTTGAAACCGTCTTCTTATCCTGTGGATGTAGCGAAGCACCGTCGTACTACCAGCTCTGAACGTCGAGCCCTCCACAGACATGTCCAGCCCTCTTCCCGGCTGGGCGGCTAGACGAACAGCAGGAGTGGCCACTATTAGCTCCAAATGGGAAGCCGCGACGGTTTTTTTAGGGGGGGGGGATTGCACCTTTCCAGCCGGGAATGAACGGTGCACCCTTCTCTTCCTACGTCGTCGGTCATTTACAAGTGCTCCACTGCGCCATACTCACACTGAGATGTATCGGCGAAATAACGAGCCTGAGGGGAGACTACCGGCCTGAAATCTCGCGGCTTGTAGCTCCGACTAATCTTAAAGGCGGTGTTCCACTTTAATACGAGATTTTGAACTGAAATGGCCATCTTGAAGACTTTTCGGTGCTGTTCATAATCCTGCCCTTCTTAAGACGTAAGCTCCCCTAGTTTCTGAGCAACACGCCAGCGAAAATGACCATAGGTATATCGGAGAGAGTATTTCAAATTCACGTTGGCATTCGTGATATCACAATAACGTCATTAAAATCCTGCCATTCCATGAGCAATGCGGCGATTAAGACCAATAAATAAATAGTAGTCGAGGCGTTCATACCAAGTATTCGTGAGCGCGACTTTCAGATGTGAAGGCCGTCAATTGCCACCAATCAATGTCGTGCAAGCTACCATGACGTAACCAAACCACGACGCAGTGAGGAGCATATTTACTAAAAAGAGAATTGTGCTGTCTAGAGCAGTCTTCAAATAATTATAAGTGACCAAGATCATTAGCCTTTCGGTGCTGTGAGCAGCACCGGAAGGTCTTCAAGATGGTTGTTTCACTTCAAAACCCGATATAAATGTGGCAAACTCGCTTTAAGCTACTCCAAATTCGCAGTAAGATAGCCTACATCTCTCTTCTTAAAAATCCCCAAAAGATATCTCATTCTGCTTTATGTTTGTCCATGGCAAACGAACACCGTCCAACTATCTACACTTTGCAGAGAGCGATCACGTCGACAACGACCACAGCCCCGCCGAGACCAACGGCACGCTCAGAGCAGCAGCCGCCATCCAGCGGCATCAGCCATCCCAATCCCAGAACATGCCAGCCGGCTGGTGCCAAAGGCTGAGCACATCAGTGCCGTGTTCTGAATGGAACAAAGACCGGAAGCGGGCGTCGCTTTGTTACAGATGTCGCGCCAGGAGAGGGCGGCACGGTGCGCGGCGGACGTGGCGGCCGCGCGCGGCTGGGGCGCCGCCACCCTTCTCCGGGAGCCGCCAGCGCCGTCCTCCCTCCTCTGGGAGCCGCCAGCGCCGCCACCCTCCTCTGGGAGCCGCCAGCGCCGTCCTCCATCATGCTGGCCGCCCTCCTGATGCAGCTGTCGCGGCGTGCCATATTCTGCCGCGCCGGCGGCGGCCAGCGCGGCGCGGACCGCGGCGCCACCGGCACCACCCAGGTGGGGTCCGAGCCGGCGGCGGCGGCGGAGGCGCGCCCGCTGCTGCTGCTGCCGAGCCGCGCCGTCTCGTCCGCCGAGCTGAAGCGGCATGCGCGCCAGCTGAGCGGCGCCGAGCTGCTGGAGCCGGCCAGCGGCCTGCTGCTGCGCGTGGCGCGCTACGCCGACTCGGGCCCGCTGGACACGGCCGTGGGCCAGTGTCGCGGCGGCGTGCTGGAACAACTCCCTGCGGCACGGCCGGCGCCGGCTGGCTGGCGCGACCTCCGCGTCGCCAACCGCACCTACCGAACCGCCAGCTTCGACTGGTACTACCCGTCACTGCCCGACCCCGCCTTCTCGCTGTCGGTCATGGCGCGAACTGTCGCCCACAGCCTGCAGGGCGCCATGGGGTTCCACCGCAACGAAACTGTGTACAAAACGTTGGTACGCATGGATAATGTATTCGACCTCTTCACGTCCAACTCGGTGGACTTCTTCACCGACTTCTTCCATCGCACGAGCAAAAGGGAGCAGCTTATGAGCTTCTCGATGGGCATTGTCGAAGCACAGACCGGCCTGCACATGAAAAGGCCCGAGCCGACATCCAGCCCGTCTTACGTTGGTGGCCTGGAGGGCGGGCGGGTGGTAATGGTCGCCGTTTATGTCATCCTGCTGGCCAGCTTGGGCGGCTATTGACGTTCCGCCTGACCGACAGCCGGGAGGCGCGGTTCTCCACCTTCTGGCTGCAGGCGCTGGGCGTGTTCTGCGCGCAGGGCCTGGCCGTGCGGCCCGAGCGAGCCTCGCAGCACATCACGGCCCTGCTCGTCCTGCTCGTCAGCACCCTCGCCTACCAGTTCTACGCCGCCGGCTTCCTGGCTCACATCACGCTGGAGCAGTCGCACCTGCCGCTGGCCGAGCCGGACGACGTGACGCGGCGGCCGGAGTGGAGCTGGGCGTACCCGGAAGACTCCGCGATCGAGTCGGTGCTGCAACATCACCCGCGGCCGGACCCTCAACTTCTCCTCACACTTGAACCAAGCGCGCGGCAGCGGCCACAACCATGGCGGTATCGCCCACTGGCTGCGGAGGCGAACCGCTTGGCGTTCGTCAGCGACGACACGGCACTGGCGACCGCCTGCGACTTCACCTCGTGTCCGAACGTGTGCCCGCACCCGCAGCTGCTGCTTCACAAGACTCTGGCGGTGCCGTTCAGGCGTGGCCTGCGCGAGTGGCGCGCGTTCGACCGCGTGCTGCTGCGGCTGGCCGAGGTGGGCGTGATGTCGCGCCTGCGCCGTCGCTACCTGCCGCCGCGCCTGATGAACGCGCTCCGCTGCGACCTGGAGCCGCGACCGCGCCAGACCGTGTCCACAATCGGGCTCGAGCAGTGCCGGCCCGTGTTCGCGCTCCTGCTGGCCGGCGCGGCGGCGGCGCTGCTGGTGCTGCTGCTGGAGCTGGCGGCAGCGCGGCTCGGCCGCTGGGCCGGTCGGACGGAGCAGCTCTAGCGTCGGCTGTTCCGCCCGCCGGTCGCTCCGGAAGAAGGACCGGAAGAAGAAGTGGGACCGTTGTCGCGACCAGGGCCTCGCCGCCGTCTGTCGGTGCTGAACGGCCGTGTGCTCGCTGTCTGGTCTCCGGTCTGTGGCCTCACAGGCCGTGTACTCGCTGTCTGGTCTCCGATCTGTGGTCTCACAGGCTGTTTACTCGCTGACTGGTCTCCGGTCTGTGGCCTCACAGGCCGTGTACTCGCTGTCTGGTCTCCGGTCTGTGGCCTCACAGGCCGTGTACCCGCTGTCTGGTCCCCGGTCTGTGGCCTCACTGGCCGTGTACTCGCTGTCCAGTCTCCGGTCTGTGGTCTCACAGGCCGCGTACTCGCTGTCTGGTCTCCGGTCTGTGGTCTCACAGGTCATGTACTCGCTGTCCGGTCTCCGGCCTGTGGTCTCACGTCGTCACATACCACCTTTGTGTTGGCAAGTGCCTCCAACATCACATAGGGAGTTGCACCGGTAGGTCGACGGAGGTCAACATTGACCTTAGAGGATAACACATGGGGTAGTCTTGACCGGGCCGTTGGGGACCAGGAGACAAGGAGACCCAATATTATCCGTTCACAAGGCACTGCATGTTGTATAAGGCGATGACAACTTCTGGTAGACAACGATGGCTTCTTGAAAACGATGACGACGACGATGAGAAAAACGATAACAACGTCTGGCGGATATCTGCGAGTACGACCAATGACAGTCTGTGCCGGGCTTGCAACTGCAAACCCAGGTTGAAAAAAGGCGCAGGAGGGCATCTTCAGTGTCCTGCCGGCCGAACTTGACGACAGGCAAGCTGGCGGAGGCCACACATGGTCACTGTCATGGTCCAGCCACGGAGCAGAGGTGCACCCAGCGGGCTAGCAGGTGGTTTCATCACCGCATGCGCCACGGTAATCATCACCAATCAAGATCAACACTAGCTCCTTTTTTTGTCTTACCAGTCATCGTCTTGTATGTTGTTGTTCTGCTTCAGGGGCCCATTTGCCACATCTGTCCAACGGAAGACAACGCCTGACTGGCAGTGGCACCTACTGCAGCTCAGCTGTTTCAGGCGGCCATCGTTGATTGTGTCTATCACAAGTTCTTCACCCCGGCGCCCGGCGTTCTCACAACCGTTGACAACTTCAGTGAAACATTTCCCTGTATGTTATCGTGATTGGGGCTTCACGGCGTGCTGAGCTCTGAGGCCAAGCACTGACGTCGCCCGCCTCTCACCGGCCCCGGTCAGCTGAAGACCCAGCTGACCGGGGTAAGCCGGGCTTTGGCGCGATGCGTCCATAGCACGCGACGTTTGAACTTGTACACGTCATTTCCAGATGCATTTTGCTAGCAACACCTCCATAGCGGCTCGTTCTGTCAGAGATTCCTGCGATCGAAAAAAAAACGCGCCGTCATGGCAGAGATGGCCGTCCGCTTCGCGCGAGCGCTGGATTGTTCAGAGATACCTGCGATCGAAAATGAATGAACGCGCCATCCTGGCAGAGACGGCCGTCCGCTTCGCGCGAGCGCTGGATTGTTCAGAGATACCTGCGATCGAAAATGTATACATGCGCCATCATGGCAGAGATGGTCGTCCATTTCGCGCGAGCGCTGGATGGTTCAGGGCTTGAAAATGCCGTGCCCATGTGTGCTCCAAGATTTCAATCCACGGAAACGATCAGCGTTTGGTCAACAGCAATGCTATTTCCGGCAAGAAGACGGCGTCGGTTTAAGCAGAGTGTTCCACATTAAATGTGGTTTTGAGCTAAAGTGGCCATCTTGAAGATGTTTCGGTGCTGCCCACAATCTTGCCCTTCTCAAGGCCTAAGCTAGACCTGCGTTTCTAAGACCTGAGCTAAACGCCCGAGAAGTTGGAGAAAAGTATATCCGGGAGAGCATTTCAAAGTCAACATGACATTCATGATCTCACGATAACTTCATTAAAACTCTGCCATTCCATAACATATGCGGCGATCAAGGCCAAGAAAAATGGAACTGTCGAGGCGTTCGTATCTGGTGCTTGCGACCGCGATTTCCAAATATGGCGACCGTCAATCGGCTCTCAGTAAATGCTGTGCAAGATGCCATGACGTAATGAAACCAGAGAGCTATGACGCAGACAGACAGAGAGTCGCAGACAGACAGCGAGTTATGACGCAAACAGAGCGTTATGCTGTCTAGAACAGTCTTTTCCACTTAAAAAGTATGCAAAGAGTTACAAGTGAGCTGATTGCATCATATATGACATATGCTTCAATATCTTCAAATGGGAAACACGCCCTTCAAGGCATATCAATATGGTAGCCCTCAGTATGCTAGCGAGGCCTCTCCAAATGCTGCCACACCGCCATATCAAATATGGCAACCTGGCGCAAACTCTCCCCAAACGGCAATAGCCGCTATACTAACGGATATGGTGCAGGTTGTTCGAAATGGCTTTAAAGCGCAGTTAACCATAAAGCATCAGTATATCTTCGGCGCTATAATTGCGCTAAATTAATGATCATGATAGCAACGTTTCGTGATGATTTCATGTGTTTCCGCCTTTTCCATCTAACTTCTTCGGGTGTCTGGCAACAGCTCATCACGCTAAGCAACGGGTTAATGAAGCAGCAAAACTATGGGAGGAGTGCTGAGATAGATTGGCGTGGCATGCTATGACCCAGTAAAAGGGGCAAGTCACTAATGTCCACATCTTCTCCTCTACCTTACTCAAGGAAAAGCAATATACGAAGGGTGTGTGACTGGGTGTGTGCTCGCGCCCGCGTGCGTGCGTGTACATCATGTCTATGCAGATTATCAACTACTTTTTCGGTTGTTTTTTTTTCGTTCCTTTTTTGGACTACGTTACATATTCTGTATTGCAGACCACTGAACTCAGCCACCAGGACTACAACCCACAGATTCAACTTCACAAAAGACGACCTCAGCACTCGACCTCAACTACCTACCTCCAACAAAATGTATTTTTAGGAGGCAAATCTCAAATTCTTCAACATTTATGCCCTACCTGCAATGTCCATTAGTTTCAATGGTGATCAAACACGTATTGAGGACTCAAACTTTTTGGCGACGGCTCCTTGAGTCTCTTTCAGACCATGACGGCGTGCTTACATGGGTTGCGACACGGAGTGGATAGGAGGGCGACAAGTTCACAGATTAGAGCAGCTGAACATGACCTTTGCTCATCCGGAACAGAAACGATCTGAAAGCCTCACTTGTCTCAATCAACTCAATTATGACCCACCGACCTCCGGTAATCAGGCTTGAGCGAATTTATACAGCATCGGTGGTTCAGTGGTAGAATGCTCGCCTGCCACGCGGGCGGCCCGGGTTCGATTCCCGGCCGATGCAGTTTTGATTCGAGATAGGTTTTCACAAATGTGCCGCGCTACGTGCCGTGCACAGTGAAAATGACGCACAGCATGGCACACAGCCACAGTCTGATCAACTCCCACACCGATGAACGTGACAGTAAAATGCATTGGGAGGAAAACTCAGCAACTATGTACCAGACGGATTATCGGTCTAGATTATATGTCCAGCACTGCTATCCTGTCGAGAACATTCTCGCTCATGTAACCGTAGCGAGCTGAGATCAGGACACATGAGGAGACTGCATCACACTTAAGCACTCACAAGAAAATAGCCTCCATGGGGTCACGTGGTTACTTTCTTGGTCGCCGCATGCGAGTGCGGACTGTAAACCGACCGTCCGGAAACCAGCTCTCCATGCACCGCACCGCGGGCCTGCATCCGCAAGCCACCACCCTGGTTACCGTTTGAGGTTCTGAACCGATCGTCCGAAAACCATGCACGGCACCCTGAGTATCCATACTAGAGACGCAACTTTCCAAAAAATATCGGCCCGCAGCCTAGCCCGCCCCGCCTAGCTTGTGATCCAGCCCGCAAACCCGCCTAGCTGGTGATCCAGCCCGCAAAGCCCGCCTAGCTAGTGATCCAGCCCGCCAAAACCCGCCTAGCTAGTGATCCAGCCCGCCAAAGTCCGGTATGTTTTAATGCTGATCCACCATCAGCCCGCAAGTATTAATTTATTGCAAGACGCACTTTGTTATCTCACCTTCAATTTCAGACCTATGCGTTACGTTGTGCATGAAAAATGGTTTGCCATCATCGCCATCAAATACATATCATTGTTTTGCTAACACGAGTGATGCTACTCAGAGAGCAGCAAAGTATCCGCCCACTGAAATATCCCACAGAAAAGCAGATCTTAATCACCGTGATAGCAGTTTCAACTCCGAAAGGAAAGGAAGAGATTGGACACGAAATTCGTCTTTCAGCGAAATGGTCTGAAGATACCACCTTTCTGCGTCATCTTAATAAACCACAGGCCATTTCTTGTAAATTAAAAGCATCAACTGATGTCTTTTCACTGAAAGGGGAAAAATACTGGGTGGACCAAGCTGCACAAAATGCACAGCTCTAAGCAAACATCTCACTAAAACATTTAAGAAAAAATATCCCCAAATTTTCAAAGCTACCGCCTGCTTTCACTGAGCAGCAGTTAGATCCTGAATACAAGTACGGCTATACACTGCACTTGTTGCTATGAGGTGCACTCAACCTTTCTTGCTTTACACATAAACCATACTTCACCGCAATCAATATCAATGATTCATAAAATGTATGGGTAACTGTGGGCCAATTTGCCCAAGCTTTGCACGCTTGCCAATACAGCCAGCAATTACTGGTGTACCAAATGCTCAACAGTTGTCGAAAATGAAAAAGTGGTGGCATAGAGCTTGTTCATCTATGCCTGCAGAAGATGCGAGTTGCGACTTCGACTACGAAACGCTTGCGCAATGCTGTTTCTCCAACTGCGATTGCTAGCATTTTTGGCCTCTTTTTTGCACAAAGGATTTTTTTCTGTCTGATTTGTTAATACTTTCACAATATTCATCTGCATGCATGTTCTGCGTGAAAAAATCATCCCCATATATGACGTCACAACATTTTTTCCTTTAACTGAAAAGCCATCAGTTGATGCCTTTAATTTTACAAGAAATGGCCTGTGGTTTATTAAGATGACGCAGAAAGGTGAAATCTTCAGAGAACTTTGGT